GCCTTGACCGACTGCGTTGGCGCGGCTGTCTCGGCGTCGCCCGACGACGACGACGACGAGACCACAGGCATGGTCGTCGGCGCCCGTGTTGTTGGCTTGGGCGTCGTGGTCACCGGCGCTGTCGTGGCGGTCGTGGCCACCGGCGTCGTCACGGGCGCGACGGTCTTGGTCGTTGGCAGCGGCGTGACCGTCACGGTCGTGGGCAACGGCGTGTCTGTGGTCGGCGCCGGTGTCGTGGTTGGCGGTAGCGTCACGGGGGCAATCGTGATGATGGGCACGGTCGTCGGCGCCAGCGTCGGCGCCAGCGTGGGGACATTGGTCGTCACGTTCGCGACAAAGTCGGCTGTGGCCATCGAGGCTACATGCAGCGTTAGCACCTGGCGAGGTCGCATGCAGGCGCGTACCCAGAAGCAGGGCGAGGCTGGCAAGATGCACCATCCTCCTTACGCTCTGGCAACTTCTCGGTCGGACGCAAAATGGCACCGCAACGAGCCGGCGCTCCCCATTGACACACGGTGCGCCCGCGTGTATACAAACCTCAAGTGCAAGCTGAGGTTGCAACGATTCAACCTCTCGAATTAAATTGTACTCAAGGTTTGTATGCCGTCCGCGTCTTTTTATTCTCCGAGTGGCCAGGCGTAATGGTGAGAATGGGAGGTTCTTTCAAGTCGCGTGTCGCAAAGTGCAGCTCGGGCGGTGTTAAGGGGCCGACATAGGGTGTTATAACATTCCGATCCATTGGTGAACTGCGTTATAAAATTGAGAGACGGTCGAATGCACGGGTCGAATGGGTGACTGTCTTGCAGCCGATCGCAGCGACAAGTTGGACTAGGCGTTCATGTACAACTTGTCGACGACGGACCGCCGCACTTGTACAGTAGTATGGCCGGCGTCGACGTCCCACGTGGCATTGGAAGCTACTGGGGACCTACACTTTTTTTCGAAAGCATCACGGCAAGTCCGTCGAGCGGACAAGTTATAGGTCTTAGATACTACAGAATACGGTCCTACAGCGTCACGCTGTTGTCGTCGTTGGTGGTGGGTTGCATCCGGCTTTGCTTTTGGCTGATCAAAATCGGCATCTCGTCCCAGAGGTCGACCGCCGAGTGGCCGCGCGACGAGTCCGTGTACACGGGCGATGGCACGGCGTTGATCTCAAAGTCCATCGACGACGCCACGGACGCGCGCGGCGGCGTGTCGGCTGCCGAGTTGCGCAACGACGTGCGCGCGACAAAGTCGTTGTTGGGCTTGGAGAAGGCCGATGGCCGCATCGGCGGCATCATGGGCACCGGCTCGTCCTCGCTGCCTGTCGTGCGGAGACGCTGCATGGGCTGGAAGCTCGAGTGGCCCGTAAACGTGAGCGGTGCATCCGGGGTGCACGCGTCGTTGTCGTCGTCGTCATCTTCGTGCGACTTGCGGTACTTGCGAGCGACAAAGATGAGCAAAAGAGCCAAAGCGACGCCGCCGACAACGAACGCGGCGGTCCAGCTCGCCGACGGGCCACTGTTGGACGACGCCGTGTCCTTCCTCGTGCTCGTACTGTTGGTTGTCGGGGTCGAGCTCTCGTTATAGTCTTGCGGCGACAACGCGGTGGTGCTGGTGGGTAAGTTCAGAGGCGCAGTCGTTGAAGGCGCCAGCGGTGCCGAAGTAGCCGGTCCTTCCGGAGATTTCGTCGTCGTTGCACTCGTCGTGACGATGGGCGACGTGGCGGCCGGTCGCGAAGTGACCGGCGGTAAGACGCTTGTAGGAAAGGTGACTGTCGGTGAAGGCAGTACGGGCGCCGTCGTCGTCCATGGGATCGCCGACGTCGGCGGCGGTGTGGTCCCGGGCTGCGTTGTCGGCGGTGGCATGCTGGTAGCCGAGCCATTGCACGAGACGTAGCCAAGTGGACACATACCGAGTGTCGTTGTAGCCACACAGAGACGGAGACCGCTTGGCGACGGGGAGATGGCGAGGCATGGCGGGCAGTCCCCGGAGACGAGGAAGCATGTATCGTCTCCGGGTGGCTTGCACTGGACGGTCTCTCTGCACAAGTCGACTGCCGCCGTCGTCTGCAGCGCCACGCCTAGCACCATCAACATCATCATGAGCCATAGCCCATGTAGCCAAGCCTTACATGCGGCGAGCGTGGACAGGGCAACCACCTTCATGCGCTTCGAGGACCAAGTTGAAAACTTGGCGAGCGTGCAATGCTTCTTCAGGTCAGCAATACAATGCGGAAATCCAAATCCGTATACAAACCGCATGTTGCACGATCATATTTTATTACGCGCCTTGGGTGCCCCAGCTTCGAACTACGCGCCCGCGCCGTGGCGCAAGTGCGAACTTCGATGGGAAAAACCATCGCGTGGGCAAAACGTACTGCAACAAAGCGCGTCGAGGTTTGTCCCAGCTTGGACAACGGGTGGAATACCACGGCCCGCGGCGATTTCAGCGGATCTTTGGCGCGGCTAACGCTTCGGCTAACCTGGGCGGCAGGGACCCTGCACGCAACTCGGACTTGGCACTGGTGGTGGGCATGGCTCGAGCCACTTCATACCTCGAGGCTGCTTGCACGTGCGCAGCAGCGTGCTACGATTGATGCATGCAATCTGTCGAGGTGTACGAAGAGGATCGACTGCCAGTCGCAAGAGATTCGCGAAGATGGGAGCGACAGCACTGAGATTACGATGTGGCGAAGCAGTCGCAGCTGGACCAAGGTGGTATGTACCCACCAACGCGTCGATTCATATCGATTCACAAGACACACGCCACGTCAACGTTAAGGGGAAAGCAGTTTGCGTCGGTTTAAAACTCAACCGAGAGGCGCGTCTCGTTGTCGCGCACGTCGCTGGCATGGGTCGGCGCCGGGTGGGCGAGCTTGTTCTTGGCCGTCGGTGTGCCGTCTTGGTAGCTCGACGGCACGTTGCCCCAGACGTCTGAGTGCGTGACGTCGCTGCGGGGCTTGGCCGCCGGCGCGACCGAGACGGCCGTGTAGTCTTGCTGGGCAGGCGCATACCCATGGTTGTTGGTGTTGTTGTATTGGTTGGGTTGGGCGTACGACGACTGCGGGTTGCTGTAGTTGTCGTGGGGTTGCTGGCCGTAGTTGTTGTAGGTCTGCGACTGGTTGTTGTTGTTGTTGCCATACGGGTTGTACGTCGCTTGTGGCTGGTTCTGACCGTCGATTTGCGCGCGGAGGTTGGCTGCAACCACAGCAGCGCTGCCACCTTCGTACGTCGTGGCCGCCGCAGTGCTCGTGTAGTTCTGGCTCGTCGCCGGTGCCGTCGGCTTGTACGGCTCATCGTCGTCATCGTCGTCGCGGTTGTTCATCTTCAAGACCACAACCAGAACAACCGCGATCAAGACGACGGCACCCCCGGCAATCCCACCATAAAGAGCCCAGTTAATGCCCGAGTCGGTCGTCGAGTTGGGGTGCGCGTTGTTAGCATTCGACGGCGTTGCAGTCGGCGTCGGCGTCGCCCCCGAGCCGGACGACGAGCTCGTCGTCGTCGCGGGCGTTGTCTTTGGCGTCGTCGAGGTCGGCTTCTTGGTCGTGGCCGTCGGCGTTGTCGTCGGCGCAAGCGTCGTCACTACAGGCTCTGTCGTCGTCGGGGCCAGCGTCGTAGGCGCCAACGTCGGCGCAAGCGTCGGCTTGACGGTCGTCGGCTTGGGCGTAATGCCCCCAGAGCCCGAGCCGGAGCCAGAGCCCGAGCTCGGTGGCGTGTACTTGCCGCACTTTTGAAAGCCACCAATGCCGACGACGTTGCAGGTGCCGATAAAGTTGGTTGGCTTGCACACAGTCGTGCCCGTGCTCGAGTCGGCGCCCATGCATTCGGGGCACGTCTGGAGCGCTCGGTCGCAAAAGAGCCCCGTGTCCGTCGTGCACGTGCGCTGCTTGCAGATGGCCTGCGCATCGACTCCATCTATTGCATGCGCGTGAGCTATGCCAAGCCACCTTGGGTAGCTCGAGGACGTACAGTGATTCGTACTCACCGCGGCCAGAGCCACGAAGAGTAAGCTCGACGCCTTCATCGCGAAACTCCAAATTGCGTCCCGCCAACACGCTGCAAAGAGCGGGTTTTTGTAAAGGCGCTTCTCTCGCAACCGGTATCGGATTAAATTGCGCAACATATACTTCGTTTTGGTATGGTCATTTGAATATATCTATTGTATTGGCCAGGTGAGTAACGACAAGTTTATAATCAGCATTCGTTTTTAGAGGACCTCCGAATCAAAGATCGAGCGATCGAACGACCTGGAGCTTGTCAAGCAGCGATCGACGACGACGATGGCTTCGTCACCATAGCACCTCGATGATGCTTTTCGCTGGGGTCTACATGGCCATAAATATATATTTGACAAATAATTGTGCAAGCGGTCGCGGCTCTCCCGCCGCCCCGTAGGAATGCGAGGGGTTACGCACAGTGCGCGCCATCGTAGCTCACGTGTAGCGTATAGGCCGGGAGCACCGCCGCGCGACGCTTCAAGTGGATGGGAGGACCGACGCGTTATTATTGCCCAAGTGGGAGCTACAGAGAACAAGGTATGAGTGGTGGGGTAGGTTTGGAGGTATAACTATTCTTCAGATGGTATTAGTCGCTAGTCAATGACAGCATTCGACAGTGTGTAGTTATGATTTCACTCGATGCGCTCGGCGATTTGTCTTGCGCTCTGACCATCGTCTGCTTTGAGCTGAGCATATCACGATGGTCGGAGCGCGGCGAGGCGTTTCTGCAAGAGCGGGAGCACGTCGTCCAAGCGCGCTTCCGTCCACTCGGGATCGAACGCTTCGATCGCGATCTCCATGTTGCGGCAACTGGCTTCGTTCGACACGCCGCGCTCGCCAAATCGACACAGAAACGCCACGACACGCCAGTGGCCGTACGTGATCGCATCAAACATGGCGCGCGTCGAGCAGCCTTCGCGCCGGTGGGTGTGCAGAAACCGAAGCACGTCAACGGCGCCGACGCGGGCGGCCTCGTCCATCACGGCCGGTGTGGCGCCAACGCACTGGTTTGCATGCAACGCTTCGAGGATGGCGAGGTTGCTATAACGCGCTGCCTCGATCCACACGGCCTCCGAGGTCGTCGCACGTACGCAGTGCTGGAGGAGGTACAAGAATACATCCGTGTTGCCGGGAACGGACGCTGCTGTTGCCAGACGATCGCTGTCGCACACGTCGTCGTGGTAGTGCTCGTGCAGGTAGCGCACCATGGCAACATTGCTACTGCGAATCGCCTCGCGCATCGTCGTCTCGCACCATGGATAGCTCGGGAAGATAGCCAGCACGCCCACGTAGTCCTGACGCAAGTTGAGTTGGAGCTGGTGCCCGAAAGCACTCTGCAGCAACCGCGCAACCGGCATTGAGAGCGTTTTTGGCACCAGTGACGCGTCGGCGTCGACGCACTCGGGTGCGTGCGTCAACAAGAAGGCCAGCACGTCGTGATGGGCAAAGGCCGCAAACCACACGCTGGAATTCCAGCCAGACTGCCGATATGCGTAGAGTACTTGAAGCGCGTCGAGGTGACCATGCTCGGCCGCAGCACAGGCAGCCGCCACTGTTGCAGAGACACCTTGCAGCGGTGCAGCAAGAAGGTGCCGCAGCACGATTGCATGGCCGTTGGCAGCCGCCTGCGTCACGGCGCGCTGACTAACGGCCGGAGGTTCCCACTGCAGGAGAAAGCCCACGACCTCGAGGTGGCCACCACCGGCGGCGTCGTCCAGCGCGCGGTGGGTCCAGCCTTCCGTGCGGTTGGCGCAGAGGTACTGCACCACGGCGAGGTGTCCGTTGGCGCTCGCACCGTCGATCGCGTCCGTTGTTGCGCCTTCGTCGCGGTGCGAATGCAGGAACATGACCACCTCCAAGTGGCCTTCGGTTGCTGCATAGTCCATCGCGTTACTCGAGCAGTGGGGCGCGTCATGGTGATGCAACTGCTGAAGTACGCGCAAGTGGCCGTCGTTGGCGGCCAGCGTCCATGCCGTCGCCGAATTCGTGTATCCGCCGTTCTGAAGCAGATACGCCACGACGTTGGCGTGGCCGTGCATGGCGGCGCCATCGACGACGGCCGGCGACGTACCACGGATGCCACAAGCGTGCAACGAGACGAGGATATCGAAAAAGCCGCGCGCAGCAGCAGTAGCCACCGCTTGGGTGACATCGCATGATCGAGACGCGAGGTACTCGAGCACGTCCTTGTGGCCGAGCTCGGCGGCGAGCGCAGCTGCGCGCGGACTCGCGCGGCTGAAGCCAGCATCGACCAGCTGATCCAGCAGCGCAATGCTGCCGTGGGACACAGCCAGATCGAGGAGCGGCTCCGTGAGACGTCCTGGCGCGAGATCCAACGAGCACAAGTAGGCGACGATGGCCATGTCGCCGCTGGCCACAGCGCAGTACAGTGCATCGCGCGTGAACAGCTGCGGTCGACACGCGGCAATGCGCGTAAGGAGGCGCAGTCGACTTTCGACGATGGTCCAATGCAATGGGAGGCGAAAGTCGTACGCTGGCAGCGACAAGAAGAGCGTTCGTGTGGTCGAGACGGGCTCGACAACATTGGACAGGTGGTAGTAGCGCCCGTCGTCGTCAAGGCGCACGTGGTACATGGCGTCGGCCAGTCGATCCCGTACATCCTCATAGAGCCCCTCTTGATACGCGAGGAGGAGCCGGAGTAGCGACGGGTCGGTGAGCACGCGGCTTGCCATCATGCCACTGTTTGCCACTGTTTCTCGAACGGTGAAACAATCCTTGGATTCTGTATGAAATTCTGTTTCAACGCGAAACGATACAGGAAACCGTGTTGGCGTAGCGGTATGCAAGTTAGTGTTGTTGCTCGGTCCAACCAAGGGCGCTGAGCGTGTCACCGACGATGTAGAGCGATCCCGTCGCGAGCACTCGCGCGTGCGCGGGAGTGGTCGAGCGGATTAATGCGATGCTGTCCTCGACAGAATGGCAAATCGACGTCTTGGACGCGGCGCGGCCGTTGTGCAGGGCGGTCCACACTTTGGAGCAAATGAACTGCCAGTACTGCTTGTCGCCGTTGGGCGGGCAGTTGGTCATGTCAAACACCGAGGGAGGGACGCCGTCGATCGCGATGCCGGCCTTGAGCAGCGCTTCCTGCACACTCGGAATCTATTGCATCCATGAACTCTCGACCCAAACGTACGTCGCGCCGTACCTTGACGATGCTTGGGCGACACGACCGCGACGGCGTAAAGATGACGTGGTCGAACGAGAGCGCCAGGAGCGGCTTCAAAATGGCCACAATGTCGCGCTCGTGGTGGCAGTTGAAGATCAAGATGCGCGTTTCCGTGGGCTGCTTGGCGCCGTTTTGCGTAAACCACGCGCCGCAGCACTGCATGCTCAGCGGCGTGTGCGCGCCGTCCACATAGTACGTCGTCGTCGAGTTCGGGTCCGGAATCGTCTGCGCGCGGCCCGGCCAAAACGCCGATGTGAGGCCTGCGAGGACCGTTGGTGTCGCGAGCGTCGGGTACGCCGGCGGCAGCGGCAGCGGGTTCTTGCGCTGCAGCCACTGGGTCGCCAAGACGATGGCGAGCGCCGCGTTCACGTGCTGGTAGTCACCTGCGGTGTCATGCAGCGTGTAAGACGAGATGATTTCGATGCTGCGAGTGTACCGTGGAGGCCGAGCGACGTGACGTCTACGTTGAAGGACGGAAGCGCCGGCACGACAAACAGCGGGTTCCCGTGTTCCACCGCGCAGCGCTCGAGCATCGAAGCTGCGATCTCGGGCTGCGCGATCGTAAAGGCGGGTACATTGCGCTTGAAGATACCCGCTTTCTACGCACCCATAGAGTAGAGAATGACCGAAGCGATGCGCAAAGCGTACCTCGCGCGCGATCAAGTCGAGCGTCTCGCCGAGCACGCGCGTGTGGTCCAGGTCGAGCGTCGTGACGCCGCAGACGACCGGGCGCTGGACAACGTTGGTCGCATCCAGACGACCGCCGAGCCCGACCTCGAGAATGACCACGTCCACGGCTTCGGCTGCGAAAATGCGCAGCGCCAGCAGCGTGAAGAAGCGGAAGAAGCCCGCCATCGGCGGCTCGTCCGTCGCTTGGTCCTATGCCACTGCCTCAGCGCACGCCGTCGGTTAGTGGCGTACCTTGGTCGCATAGAGCCCGTCCCAGACGGCCCAAAAGTGCGTCAAGAACGTCGCCTCCGGGATCGGCTTGCCGTTGATGCGGAAGCGCTCGCAGACGTGGATCAGGTGCGGCGACGTAAACATGCCGGTCCGGACGCCATGCGCCCGCAGGATGCTCTCGGTGAACGCAGTCGTGGAGCCCTTGCCTTTCGTGCCCGCAATGTGAATCACCGAGAGGTCGGTGATGTCCATTCGCAGGCGGCGCATGTAGTGCTGCATGATCTTGATCGTCGACTCGCGCGTGTCTTGCTTGGTGGGCGGGAGCACGTTGCCCGGTCGGCTCGGAAGACTTAGGAGCAGGTCCATGGCGCCGTCGACGCCTCTGGCGCGGAAGCTCTCGACGTCGTCGACCTCGAACGCGTTGGCCATCTCTGGTTGTAAACGGCAAAGTGAGCAGCACCACGCAAACAGTAGGGATCCGCCAGCTTGAACCGCGTCCGCCAATCAGATCGAGCGGTACCCAAGGGCCGCTTGCTGCGTCGCGTTTGATTGGTCGTTGCTGGCGACCGCCGATTGGCCCGCCCAAAGATTTGCCCAATCAGTTGTTGGTCTGCACAAGATACCGCTCCCCACTGCAGCTCGTCGCCCGTCGTCGCCACAAGACGCCGTCCTCGCTGCGCTCTGCCGGCGTCCGCGCGGATATCGTGGCCTCTCGGCGGCAATTTGGTGGCCACTCGCTCCATGGCACATCCTCGATTCGTCAACATGACTCCACGTGGCAGCCTCCGCGACGCGATGCCACGACGAGGAAGAGAAAGGAGGCAAGGTAGGATGGGTGGTTTGAGGAGCTTAAGCGTGTGTGAGCTAATTGAGAGTGCTGCGCGAGAACGCAATCTTGAGCATGCGACCGTCAAAGCTCGAGTTGTGGGCGCATGAAAGCAGGTTGATCGCGAGGTCGGTCGACGGAAACTCGAGAAGCACTTGCGGATGGCCCTTGGCGTTCGTAAAGGTCTTGCACTTGGCCGTCTCGAGGGACCCGAGCGTACGCAAGTGCGCTTGCAGGCTCTAATCAACAGCCAACGGGAGCCGTCGCGTGCAGGAGAAGCGAACGCGTACCTCCATGTCCAAAGACGCGCCAAAGTTGGAGACGTGGAGGACGCGCGTCGGGCTGTAAATGTGCTTTGTAAAGTTGGCGTACTTGCCCGTGAAGCGGTTGTAGGTACTGCTAAACTCCTTGGCATGCGTGTTCCTACTCCACCCCATTGGTATATGCCATCAGATATGCTGTGTATGTACTCGTCTTGGTCGGGCTGCGACGGTGAAATGGACAGGTGCTTGGACGCGCGAACATCCATGGCGCGACCGGCAAGCACGACGCCGCGAAGATGCGTGATTGCAAGCGCCGCTGCGGTCTCGGTCGCGTACTGAATGAGCGCATGGTCCTACCCAAGGACATCAGCCTTCGTCCGCCAGAGGTCTAAGAAACCATACCGGCTTGGCGTGGAGCTTCTTGAGCCGCGTAATGTTGCCGTAGCACGAAAAGAGGTTGAAGATGTGATCGCACGTCAGTGATCGCTTAAGGTTGCACACGAGCACGACGGGCGACCCGATGGCGTCTGCGGGATTTGCTACGTCGGCGCTGACGCTGGACCGGTCACTGTGGCTCGTGCTTCGGGTCCGCGATGCTTTGTTGGCGTGACTCGTCGGTGTTGTGGCGGCTGTTGTTGCAGCGGTAAACGGAAGGAACGAGTGCAGCACGGCGGCGTGCGGCGCGTTGATCGCCGTGTCCATCACGGGCACCGGCAGCGTCAGATTGGTATAGTCGCGCGTCTTGAGACTATTTTCTTTGACGACCAGGTCCTACGCCGTTGCCATGAGCACCGGTTGAGAGATAGAGGCAACCGTGAGGTTGGAGTAGCTAATGATCATGTAGCAGCTTTCGGGGTAAATGGCTTCGCCGTCCAGCGTGTCCTTGGCGCTTTCGGCGTCCTTGGCCAATGCGAATTGCACGAGGCACTACCCACAGGTTGTAGATCCTTCTTGGAGGTAATACGCGCACCCACCTGAAGACCCACGGGTTTGCTAAAGAGGACAATCTTCTCCACAATGCCGTAGATGCTGAAGATCTTGCCGATCAAGTCGGTCGTGATCGGGTACAGCGGGTGCTGCACCGTCACGAGCAGAATGCGGTTCACAACCTCGTTCGGGTCGCGGGCTATTTCCGCCGCAGGACTGGGCGCGTCGCTTCCTGCTGCCGGCTTGGCGGCCGACGACGACGACCGGCTGCGACTCCGCGTGCGCGCGACGTTCAATTCTTGGCTCTTGGAGTACGAGACCGCGATCGTGAGGCCATAGAGCCGCAGCGGATGGGCCGCGATGGCGTCGTAGGCAGCCGTCGCATCCTGCAGCGACTCCATTTGCACGAGTGCGTTCTGCGTCGCCTTGGCATGCGGGCCTGACTTCTTCTTGAGCAGAATCACGCGCTCGACGACACCAAACTGGGAGATGAGCTGCTCGACGTGGGCACTGCGGACCTGCGGTCCCAGGTGGTCGACAAACAAGACTCGCGACGGCTCCTAATGACTCAGATCTTATGCGCGCGTCAACGCAATGGCAAACGTACGGCGGCGGCGGCTGGCATCGCGCTTGTGGCTATAAGCGCGCGACCGTTTCTTTGAAGTAGCACTTTATCGAGGACCAATCAACGGCGCGCACGACCGGATGCCACGATATTCGGCCAATCGCAGCGCGCGCCGTGGCGAGCGTAGATCTTGGCCCTTCAACGCATTTTCGCACTTTGACATAGTGTGCTTCGAGAACAACGCCTTGCGCCGCGTACCGACTGCGGAGACTCGGCGCTCGGGCAACGACGGTTGTCTACACTCTTCTATACACGCATGGAGTGTACCGGTATCCATGAGGAGCGTCATCGTGGGTCCCAGCGTCGTGCCAAACGGCGAGACGAAGTGGTTTTACAAGCCGCCATTGGCCAATAAGAGGACCGTATGTACTTCGAACTTCGATATTCCAATGTTGTGGCGTCCTTTCTACAAAGTGCAAGTTGCCGTTCCAAGATGATTCCCAGGTTGCTCGTCGTCCGTCGACTTACACGTCATTTCCCAATTCGCCGCCTCCAAGCCATGGCTTCTTCCTTCGAGTACCCGACGGTCTTCCGCTCCGACCACACGGACGTGCTGCACGGCCGCACGGTCGCCGACCCGTACCGCTGGCTCGAGGACCCGGACAGCCCCGAGACGGAGGCGTTTGTCGCTGCCCAGAACGCGTGCACCCAAAAGGTGTTTGCGTCCGTGCCCCACCGCGACGAGTTCCTCGCGCGCAACACGGAGCTCTTCAACTACGCCAAGTACTCGTCGCCGGCCAAGCACGGGTCGCGGTACTTCTTTTACAAGAACGACGGCCTCCAGAACCAAGCCGTGCTCTACATGCAGGACACGCTCACGAGCGACCCGAGCGTGCTTCTGGACCCGAACACGCTTGCCGAAGACGGCACGGCCGCGCTCAGCGGTCGCACGTTCTCCAAGGCCAAGACCGACTCGGGCATGCTCTACTTTGCGTACGGCGTCTCCAAGGGCGGCTCGGACTGGCAGACGGTCAAAATCATCGCGATCCACCCGGATGGCACGATCGAGCACCTCGACGACGTTCTCGAGTGGGTCAAGTTTAGCTACTTTGCGTGGACGAGCGACGACAAGGTACCAGCCGTCGATCCTCTTCCCATCTCACAAATGACCTGCAGGGCTTCTTTTACGGTCGGTACCCGGCGCCCAAGACCGTCGCCGACGACAAGTCGGCGGGCACGGAGACGGACCTGAACGAGAACCAGCAGATCTGGTACCATCGCCTCAACACGCCGCAGACGGACGACGTGCTCATCTTTTCGTACCCGGAAAAGCCCAAGTACTACTTGGGCGCGACCGTCTCGGACGACGGCGCGCTCCTCCTCGTCACCATCTCGGACGGCTGCAAGAACGCCAACATGCTCTACGTCGCGCCGCTCGGCGACTTTGTCGCGGACAACGCGACGCCGCTTGCGTTCCACAAGCTCGTCGACAACATGGACTTTAGCTACAACTACCTCCTCAACAACGGCAACGAGCTTTTCTTCCTCACCAACCTCGACGCGCCGCGCAACCGCATCATCCGCGTCGCCGACTACACGGCGTCGCCGCTTGTCTGGGACGAAGTCGTGCCCGAACCCGAAGGCGCGATCGTGCTGGAAGCCGCGGCGCCGATCCGCGACGACCTCCTCATCTGCGAGTTCATGAAGGACGCGAGCAGCCTCGTGAGCATCTACACGCAGTCGGGCGCCCTCGTGCGCGACATTGCGCTCCCGAGCGTCGGGTCTGTCGGCATTTCGTGCAAGCGCGCGTCGCCCGAGCTCTTCTTCCACTTTACCTCATTCCTCTACCCCGGCACGATCTTCCGCGAGGACTTGACCGACCCGGCGACGAGCACGCCGGCGGTGTTTCGCGAGTCGACGGTGCCGGGCTTCTCGCCGGACGGGTTTGAGGCCAAGCAAGTCTGGTACACGTCCAAGGACGGCACGCCAATCCCGATGTTTGTCGTCTCCAAGAAGGAGCTGCCGCGCGATGGCAAGAACCCCGTGTACCTCTACGGCTATGGCGGCTTCAACGTGTCGCTGACGCCGACCTTCTCGGCCGCGCGCACGGTCTTTATGCAGCACTTTAACGGGATCCTCGCGCTCCCGACGCTCCGCGGCGGTGGCGAGTACGGCGAAGAGTGGCACCAGGCCGGCACGTTTGAGAAGAAGCAAAACGTGTTTGATGACTTCCATGGCGCCGCCGAGTACCTCATCGCCCAAGGCTACACGTCGCCAGCCAAGATTGCGATCCACGGCGGCTCCAACGGCGGCCTCCTCGTCGCGGCCACGGCCAACCAGCGCCCGGACCTGTACAAGTGCGCGGTCGGCGCGGTCGGCGTCATGGACATGCTGCGCTTCCACAAGTTTACGGTCGGCCACGGCTGGACGACCGACTATGGCAACCCGGACGAGCCCGAGGCGTTCGAGTACCTCGTCAAGTACTCGCCGGTGCACAACGTGCCGACTTTCGAGACGTGCGACCGCCTCCGCAACGACCACGGCGGCTTTCCCGCGACGCTCCTCACGACGGGCGACCACGATGACCGCGTCGTGCCGCTCCACTCGCTCAAGCTCATTGCGGAAATCCAGCACCAGCTCGGCCAGCACGAAGAGCAGAAGAACCCGCTCCTCATCCGCGTCGAGACCAAGGCCGGCCACGGCGCGGGCAAGCCGACCAAGAAGATCCTCGAAGAAGCCGCCGACATCTACGCGTACATGGGCTGGGCCCTCGGCGCCACCTTCACCAACTAAGATCTCAATGAGGAAAGAAATTGAAGAACTTGAATAAGAATCCACTGTGTTGTGTATCGCGGCGCCAAACGTCCAAGCGGGTGGCGGGCAAGTGCGCTTGCACCCACCCCATCGTGTACCTCCATCATGCGCCTGGGTACTGCACTGGAATTCCCACCGTGAAGAAGGCGGTGAAGAACACCGAGAAAGCGACGTGGCCCACTACACTAGCGCGTCCACGCCGGCGACAGGCGCGTCCACCTCTGCCTGGCCCGAATCAGATTCGCATTTCCACGCGCGCCCCTGCGTCTCGGCTTCTTGGCACTTGGCGACGGCGCGCACAAGACGCAAAGAAGCAAGGGCACCGGTGATCCTGCAACCAAAGAGCGAGCACGGAGCGTATCTATCTGCATCGCCCAGTGAAGGTCGGCGTCGTCGCACACACATTGCACCTCACATCTCGCATCTCCATCTTCTTCGTCGACGTCAACCATATCGCGAGTGATGTCACCGCCTCTCGCCTCGCCATCGTCGCATGCAGCACAGCAGCAGTGCTAGGAATAGCAGGATGCGACCCATGCAGCGACGCCCTTGGCGATGCAAGTCGCTGGCACTAGTTTTTCACGTGAAAATCACGGTGCATACACCGCGTGTGGCGTCCGTCCCACTCTCGGTGCCGGCCACCGATTGGCTAAAAAGCGTCCGAGGTTGCCTTTCGGCATCCCAGTTGTGGATTTCGGCCGTCGAAAGCACCAAGATGCACGCGTCGGCGTCGGCGTGCTGCATTGCGACGTGCATTGCGGCAGTCGTCTCGCTGATCATCCTCCTCTGCCTCTCGCTCCTCTACTGGACGATCCCGCGCGTACCAGCCACGGCCCACGACTTTGTCAAGGTGGCCGCCGACCGGTTCGCGTCGTCGCCGTCCGCCGACGCGCTTCTCGATGCCACCACGTCGGCGGCCGACATGACCAATATTCTCATGTCCTGGCACAGCCCGCTGTGCGGCGTCGCTCGCGCTGCGCAGGTGCGTCATGGCAGCTTCTTCCACGACGGAAGCGCGAACGAAGGGCCGCGCTTCCACGTGCAGTACTGGGTGCATGGCAGCTGGCTCAGCGGCTTTGCAGCCTTCAACCAAGCCGCGCCCGAGAGCTCCGTGGACGGCGGCGACCTCTACAGCGACGACTGCTTTGTCGTGCTGGAAAACGTCAAGCACGATGCCACGTACTCGCTCCGCGTCCGGTCGCGCGTCGACACGGCGCTGTTCCAGATTTTTTCGCGCCAGTGGACGGCATGGACCGACGCCGTGCTCGTACCGCCATTTGTGCCCGAGACCGCGTGCGAAGGGAGCTGGTTCCATCGCCTCTTTGCAGAAGAGAGCTGGTACACGGACCAGCGTACGCTCGCGCTTGTTGCCGTCACCGCCGGCTCCCTTTTCTACGCCATGGCGCTCGCCAAGCGGCGCGTGCGGCCGACGGGTACGCACATACGAAATTTCGCACAAAAATTCTCATGTAGCGTACAGGCAGTATGAAGCTTCTGGAAGAAGAGGTGACCAACCTCAAGCAGGAGCTCGCGGATGCCGAGATGGAGAACAAGCTGCTCATGCGGCTCAAAGGCTACGACATTGATTTCCTGGACATTGGCGAGATCGAAGCGCTCGAAGCCGAGCTGACGCTGGGCCTCCAGCGCATCGCCGAGGCCAAGGACGCCATGATCTGAAGTGCTTTTGATATATATTTATTCAGCCTCGCGTGTATACGTCGTTACAAGGACGATTGCATTGCGTCCGGGTTTTCGTACGCAAAGCCCGAGAACGTGTCCGAGTTGGCCCGCGCCTTTTGCTTGGTCTCCTTGTCGACGACCTCGACGCTCGGCAGCGGAAGCCGCGTAAACTCGGCCTCGAAATTGAGCGGCGTGTCGTCGGTCGTCGTCGCGCGGCACGGCCGGAACGGCGGCGGCATCTTGAGCGCGAGGAGGTCGTCCCACTCGATGCTCTCAAAGAACGGGTGCGCCTTCACTTCGGCGGCACCACGCGCACCGAGGCGCTCGGCCGGATTCCGGTTGAGAAGCGCTCGGATCAGGCCCTCGGCACGCCGCGACACGTACGGCGGAAAGTGCAGGCGCGCCGAGCGCAGCCGGTCAAACAGCTTTTGGCGGTCGTTCGTGTACCACGGCGGGAGGCCCGTGAGCATCTCATAGAGCACCATGCCTACACGACCAGTTCTTAGCCCCGTTGTGAGCGAGGATGATGTCGGACGCACCGAGGTTCCACCAGTCGACGGCCGTGCCGTGGCCAAGGCGGTCGAGGATCTCGGGCGGCAAGTACTCGGGCGTGCCGCAGAGCGAGTTGGTGCCATACACACCGTCCGTGATGCCTTCCTTCGCAAGCCCGAAATCGGCTACAGAAACACATACATTGGTCACGCGAGGGCCCTCCATGTACCATGCATTCGTACCGAGTTTGACGTGTCCTTCCTTTGTGAGGAGAATATTTTCGGGCTTGAGGTCGCGGTACACGACACCGAGGCCGTGCAGGTGCTCGAGCGCGAGTGTGATTTCGGCGGCGTAGTAGCACGCCATGTGCTCGGGCAGCTTCTTCATGCGCGTCAAGTGATAAAAGAGCTCGCCGCCCGGGCAATAGTCGAGCACAAAGTAGAGACGCTGCGGAGTCTGGAAGGCAAAGTGCAAACCCACGATGAACGGGTGCTTGGTGTAGCCGAGCACGCGGCGCTCGGTGCGCGTGTGTTCGACCTGCTTGCGCTTGACGATGTTGGCCTTGTTGAGCATCTTCATCGCGTAGAGTTTCTTTGTCGCGTGGTGGCCGACGAGAACGACCTTCCCGAACGACCCACGGCCAATGACCTGGATCATCTTGAAGTCGGTGAGGTTCACGCGCGGCGCGTTCGAGCTCGAGTCCTGTAGGTTCAAAAAGTCGGCGGGCTGCTCGACTGGAAACGGCGGCTGGTCGGCCTTCCATGTGAGGAAGCGCACGACCTCGTCGCACTCGTGGGGGTTGGTCGCATTCGAGAGCGGCTCGTACGTAAGGAGCTGATCGAGCCATTGCCCGAGCTCGTACTGACGCCGCGCGAGGAACTCGGGCTCGAACGAACCGATAATCTTCTTGGGCGGTAGCGTGGGCAGCCGCAGCCGTGGGCGCAGCTTGAGCTACGCATCCTATGAGGTACATACGTGGTGCAGCGCAAGAGGACCTTGTCGTAGAGGGCCGTAAACTCGCGGTACCGGCGATACACGCTCCACGTCGACTCGCCACAGCGAAGGACGACCGTGAAGACTGTATAGAGACGAAACATCGAGTCCTCGACGAACGAGTGGCCCTTCATCTCGACAAAGCTGGCTTGCCGCCCAAGCGGAATGAGGTAAAGCGCCTGCGCGCGCGAGTCTTCCTCCTGCAAGAAATAGATAGCTGAGGTCCTTTACTAGGATGGCTGACGACGCACCTCTTTGGCGCGGACCTCGTGCGTCTCGCAGTAGCCCGACCGGCGCGTATGGAAGAGCGTGCAGCCTGCAAACTGGCAAGGCTGCAGCTCGGACGTGCGGTGCTTAACGACGTCGACCTCTTCGACGTACCCTGGATCGTCGTCGTCCTTGTCCGAGTCGGACGTGTTTTCAATCTCGACCTCAGTCGTCGCATCCGCCGAGTAGAGCGCGAGGAGGTCATGCCTAGCCACTATGAGCCTCCCATTGCGCACGCATGGTGGGCGTACGACTCGGAGAGCTTCTCCTTCATGGCCTCGAGCGTCACGTACTGCTGGTCGATCTCCTCGACGCGGTAGCTCTGGCCCGAGTCGAGGTCCTTGACGAGGTACGCGGCCATCGTATCGAGGTCGAACTTGGCATGGTCGTCGATGCTGTCGTCGGAGGTGCATGGGCTGATCAGGTTGCTGTTCCCGGAGGACGACCCCATCGTCATCGCCTTCTTCGAGGTCTCTTCTGCCTTGCAAAAACAAACGCCGAACGACGAGCCACGGATACCCTCTCAAAGATGATAGTCGCAGCCGCGGCCCACGAAACCCTCTCGTACATGATACAATCCCGCCATCGAGTGTTGCAAATATAAAAACAAAGAGGTGCCCGGATCTTCCGATGACAACCCGATCCCTAATTTGGACGTCACTCTCTCCCTGCGCATGGAAATTCAATTGCATGGCGGGGCCACTGCATACAAACCGCAAGCGTAATGGAACAGAAGCGGAATAATATTAGAACGACAACCCACCTATCACCCAAGGATCCGCGATCAGAAGCTAAAGACCTTCTTGACACTCTGGACGCTGAAGCGGTCCGGGTGCTCGAGCTCTGCGATCGCGTCGGCGACGTCCGAGTACGTCAGCGCAGCTGCGTTCACAATTTGCGTCGACCCGTCCTAAGAGGAGATGTCAACGCCATGTACATGTGTTGTACGCTGGAGCACCTGGTTGCTCGAGACGAACGCAGGCGTGTGGGACAACAGGTACTTGACGACCTCGAGGTGGCCTTCAATGGCGGCGACGGCCAGTGGCGTGATGCCCAGCTACGTCGATGTGCGTGACGGAACTTGCCACTGTTGTGAGGCGAGGTGTACCACGTTGTCGCGGGCCTCGAGGGTCGCATGTTGTTCGACAAGCGCCTTGACGATGCGAAGGTGGCCTCGCTGCGCCGCCACATACAGCGCGGTGCAGGCGTCCTATCGCTGTTCTTGGCACAGGAAAAAGCGCAGTCGAAGCTCAACCTTGCGTGCGCTTTCGATCTGTGCGCCGTGCTCGAGAAGGACGTGGACCATGGCCACATGGCCTTTGGCAGCGGCTGCGATCAGCGGCGTCGTGCCATCCTATCGCAAGATCCACTTGGTCGCATTTGCGACATCTAAAAAGATCCTACGATGCTCGCGGCTTCCATATTGGCTTGGCTGTCGATGAGAAATTGCGCCACTTCAACATGACCCTTCTTCGCAGCCATGTACAAGGGCGTGCGAAGATCCTAGCGGCCCATTCGTTCAACGAGTGACTGCCGCTTTCACGGAGAGGTACCCTTCGGCAGGCCTCGAGGTTGGCTTCTCGCCCGGCGAGGTATTGCACGACCTCGAGATGCCCTTTCTTGGCCGCAACGACGAGGGCTGTGCGTCCGTTCTAGAGCTGCCATGTTGGAGAAGATTATTCCTGTGGGCGATGTCAACCTTTCGATTGGACTCGATATCGGCCCCGCGCTCGACCAAGACGCGGACGGCTTCAACGTTGCCATGCTTGGCCGCAATGTACAAGGGTGACCGGCCGTTCTACGCATGCTGTCAGAGAGGTAGTATGCATGCATGACCTACGCTGGTCTTGCGGTCGATCGCCATACCCTTGTCCAGGAGATACGTGATGACTTTTTTGTGGCCCTTCTCGGCCGCAACGTGGAGGATACAGATCCCGTCCTAGTCGTCGCGTCGCGCCCAAGCTTCGGCGCAGGAGGCGTACCGTGCCAGCGCTCTGGTGGAGATCAACGCCCTCCTTGACGAGCGTCCGGAGCTTGGCGACGTCGTTGGACGCGGCCGCGTCGTAGAGCTGCTTGGACGCGCTCGTGCCCATGGTGCTGAATTTTCTATTCTGAGAATTCGCGGCGCTCATTGGTCCAATTGAGTTGAGTTTCAGTACGATATCCAGCACCCACGACTTGCGGCGAGCAGCACAGTATGGACGTGGCCGCCACCGACTTTGACTGCAATATCTGCCTCGACCGCGTGAAGGAGCCCGTGGTGACACTCTGCGGCCACCTCTACTGGTACGCGCCCACGCCTGCGACCGCATGCATTCATCATCCTGGGGCGTAGCTGGCCCTGCCTCTTCCAGGTACAACGACGCCGCTGCATGTCCATGGCTCATGCCATCGCAGTGGATCGCCAACCACAACGAATGCCCCGTGTGCAAGGCCGGCGTCACAAAGGAGAACGTGATCCCAGTCTACGGCCGTGGCGCCAACACGATCGATCCTCGGTACCGTACCCGTGGCGGCGTTCGCACCGGCGGACCTTGTCTCTGCCGTAGAACGGTCGATGGTGCCGACGATATCCCCAACCGTCCGCGTGGCCAGCGCCCTGCGCCGTCTCTGCGCCGGCGCTTCATGGTAGACCACGTGCGGACGTTCTCTGACACGACAGACCTCCTAGTTCCAGCCCGACCCGCTGCCGCCGCATGCGCAAGAAGCCGCATTCTCGCCCTTGATTGGGTTCTTTCCGTCTCTTTTCGGCCTTCAGTTCGTACGTTCCTATCCGCCATGCAGGGTCTCACGCGATGCAGCAAAGCGCTGCGACCGCAACGATGCCCAACACACACACAGGTCCATGTCGCGTCGTTGGACCGCAGAATGGCATCGTATGTATAGGTCCCTTAACCCCCGCCGAGCTCCAGCAGCAAGTCCAATTTGCGTTCCTCTCCAAGATGCTCCTCTTTGTCGGCTCGGCCGTCATGCTCGGGTTGATCCTCTTTTAAGTTCAACCGAATGGCGGCAACTAGTCGGTCAATTTTGCGGAACCGTCTCAAACTCACTCGCCGGTGCGAGCTGTGTTGACGAGCAAATCTGGAATAGCAGATTTACTAGGCAGCGCAGGACTAGTACAATAGTACTAGACCTAGTGTAGTGTCGCCAACATTCTCGTAGTCGTAGTCGTTGGATCACATGCGACCATGACATGACCTTGGGCCGATGTGTGCCACGTCATACTACACCAAATGCCACGTGTGAGAAATGGCGGCAAGTGGCGGGAAACAGGGTTTCCCACCAAATTGCCCTTGTTGACGCATGTTTGGGACGAAAGGCCATCAGTTTTCCATTTGACCAAGCGCATACGATGGCCGACAACATGGACAACAAGCTGCATGGGCTGACGGCCAAGGAGCAGGTGCGACGTCACGCCACGTATGCGGCTCATGGGACGCGGCGTGTAGGTGGCCATTGTCGACGACGACAACAACGTCATTGGGAAGGCCGACCGCGCCGTCATGGTCAGTATCCTCGCTCGACGTCCGTGGCTCATGTTCGCATTAGCGCGTCTTCAACCTGCCGCACCGCGCCACGTATATTGTGATCCGCAACTCCGCGTACGGTCTTGCGACGACATGCTCGAGCGCACGCTCATCAAATAATGTGTAGCGGGGACTTTTACGTCCAGCGCCGGACGCTCATCAAGGACTACTGCCCGGGCTTGCTCGACCCGATGGCGGGCGGCGTCGTCCAGTTTGGCGAGTCCTTCGAGGAGAACGCCGAACGCGAAGCCGCCGAGGAGATGGGCATCACCAACACGCCGCTGACGTACGTCACGACGTTCCCGTACAAGGTACTACTTCAACAAAGTCCCATGACATCTCCCTACACAGCGTGTAGAACGGCGACTCGAACGTGTGGGGTGGCATGTTTGAGTGCACGTATGACGGCGAGCTCACGCTGCAGCCGGAAGAAGTGTCGGAAGTACTCATCATGTCGGCGGCCGAGATCATGTCGCGCAAGGACGAGTTCACGCCCGACGGCATCTATGCGCTCGAGCTCTACTTGCGCACCAAGCACGAGGCGTAACTCAAGTCAATAATACATTGGCGTCTGGTGGCGTGGTGGTATTTTGCGTGTATTTATTCCAGCGTTTTCAAGAGGCGAAAGAGGCCCGCGGCTTCTCGAATCCGGCTAAACTCGATGCAGAAGGCTTGCACCTCAATAATTAAATCCTACAAGCACCGTATAGGACGTGGCGTGCAAGACGGGGGGGTACCTGGACATTGATGATTTTGTTGCGGATCAACGACTGCAGAAAGACGCACACGAGGCGCACGAGGCGGTTCTGCATGTACTTGTCCTTGATGTTCTCGCACGACGAGATGCAGTTGGAGATGTACAAGTGGATAAACTCGGTCGGGAGGTCGACGGCCGTCGTCAAGCGGTTCACGACTTCCATCGAGTGGAGCGACATGTCCATGTTGACGAGCGCTGAGAGGTACTCGGTGATCTGGTTGGACGTCATGAGCTTGAGCAAGCACTCGATCGCAATCATCGGGTTGTTCTCGACAAGGTCCGGCAGCCGCGCTGGCGTCAGCTGGCACGCGTACACGAGCTTCGGGTCGGCCTCCAAATCGGCCAGCACCTGCGCATCGTGTGAGACCTTGCACAGTTCAGGGGATGCCAACCTTTTGCTGCTGCGAAGGAACGAGCGGACCAACAAACGCCTTGGCCATGAGGTCCCGCAGCTCGCGCCCACAGTCGACGTCTGCGTCTTCGTACATGCCCGTGTCCCAGAGCAGCGTCGGGCAATAGTCCGGGTCCAGCCACATGTACTCGGAGATCTCTGGCTCGAGGATCGTCGGCGCGGGGCGCACAAACACCGGGTTGACACTCTGCAGCGTGCACGTTTCGAGGTTGAGGTCGTCGGCTGTGAGCGTCGGCTCGTCGTCGAGCGTCATGGCCGCAATGTCGGCGGGCGCAAGAAGGAGGTTGTAGTTCCCATGCTCCTGGAATTCGAGCGCCGAGTACGGGAGCACGCCGCGGATGCCTTGGCTCAGGCACTCGGGTACACGTGGCGTCCGGTCAAAGTACAGCTGCTTCTCGGCGTCGAGGTTGAGCGACGCGACCTTGGTTTCGTTGCGAAAATGCTGCAGTAGCTGCTTGGCGTTAAGGTTCTTCTTGCTCGGCTCGCTGCCTGGCGCGCTCATGCGCGCAAGGAGGTGGATCAAGTAGCGCTTCTCGGCCGGGTCGCCGACTGGCGCCTCGAGCGCTTCGACGAGGCTCGGGAAGAACGGGTTCGTGTTGGTCTCGTTGCGGAAGACTTCGGTCAGGATCGAGAAGCCCACGACGCGTTGGTTGCTCGTCAAGACGTTGTCGGCGACCATGAGGCACACCATGCAGCCGACCTTGAAATGGTCGTTCTTCGTAAACGAGCGCAGGAACATGGACACGACGACCTCGACGGACTTGTCCTCTTCCTAGAGCATAGGCCATGAGCGTTCGATGACGGCGAAGACGCATGCGCGACGTACGCTGAGGAGCGCCAGCAGCGGCCCCATCTCCCGTGCTTCCAACATGCTCGGTTCGGCTTTGCACTCTCGGCCTTCCGGTCGTCTTCTATTTTATGAACCGCATTTTTATTCCCGCCGCTCGCAAAATTTTATTCGGCGAACGTCATCGCGCCGAGATTTAAATCACCCAACTTCAACGGCTTCAGACACTTCGTCAGGGCGAGATCCCGCGCCCCATCCCGCTGCACGGACAGTACGCGTGTCTGCGCCGAGATGACAACCGTCTCGGCTTCACTACCGGGCATACGAATCCAACACGGTCGATGCACATGTCGGTTCACACCGCGCAAAATGAACTCACAGTGCTGCCTGCGTGGTGGCGGGGGCTTACACACGGGCGTAATACATTTGGGTACACGCAGAGGGCACTCGCTCCGCGCACACCATACTCTCGTACTTGCGTACGGTCGTGAGACGCCTTTTTTTGCAGGTCAGCGCGTGGGGGAAATGGCGCGGCCGGTGCAGAATGGCGTGTTTTCAGATTCTGGACCTCAGGCGGCACCGTTGGTGAGTTTGCACTTGGCGCGAATTAAATTGCACGGCGTCTTTGTATCGTATTTTTCTCGCCAATAAGAATATAATGGTGTGTTTGTGCGGTCGGGTGCCAGTTGGGTGTTTCTAGCTCTCGTCGACCACGCTGATGCGCGTGACGGCGCGCGGGTGCGGCCGGTCGCGCAGGGCTGCGAGAAGCTCGTCGCAGCGCTCGCCGGCGTTGAGCTTGGTGACAAATTCGTGCAACTCGACTTCCTCGGGCGAGTGCGTCATGCAGCCGCCGTCGCAGGCGCAGCTGCCGCCGTACTCGACGGGCAGGCAGTCGGCGTCCACGTATTCGAGCAGCGCCTTCTTGATCTCGGCCTCGCCCGACACGACAATGGTCTAATGGATTCGCATGAGCTAACGCGTGGTGAAAGCCTTCGCAGTACCTTGTCGCGCGTCTTGGGGTTGACCATGGGCGCCGCGACCTTCCAGATCATGCCAAACCACCGTGGCGGGTTGACGATGAAGACCTTGAACATGCGCTCGGGGTTGTAGTTGCCAGCAATGAGGCCGACCTTCTTCACAAACGAAAACACGTCCGAGCTCATAATGTCCATGGAGATGCCCTTGAGGTCGATGATGCGCAGCTGCATGCCGTTCGGGTACGCCCGGTTGTCGAGGACCTTCCAATAGTACTCTTGCATGAACGCCGTGTGGTGCAACACCTCGGCCTCCGAGACGCCCCGCGCCGTTAGCATCTGCATCGTCTTCTTCATCGTGCCCGTCTTCTCGATCTGGATCATGCGCCCCATCTTGTCGCGCTTGTGCACATAGAGCACGAGCGATTCTTTGATCTACGAGTCAGCTTCATACGTGTCCTTGGCGCGCTCTCGTACCGCGTCAAACTGCGGGTGCGGCCGCGCCAAGATCGTGTCAATGTCCTCGTCCTTGCGCCAGTTGACCATGGCAAAGTACCGTCGACGCGCCTCAGTCACGTTGCCCGACATGCCTTCGAGGAACCGTCCGTAAATGTCATCGTCCGGCACGTCCATGTCGGATGCGTCATGCTCGTCGTCGCATGACGCGTCCTTGCTCGTAAGGAGGACCTTGGTCACGTTGAGCGACCGCCACGATGGCCCCATGAGCACACTCCGGCCGCGCGTTGCGAGCAGCAAGTGCAGCGACGTGAGCACGTCATAGTTGGAGCGCAGCACGAGGGCGAGCGCGGCTGCGACCAAGAGCCCGCCCCCCAGGGCCGTCACAAGCCGGTCCGAGCCAAGAATCGCGACGCAAAAGAGGAGGCCGCTGAGCCCGAGGCACGCCACGGGCCACAACGCCCCGCCATTGGTCGCCCCCGCCGTCGACGCGTCTACCGTCGACCGTTGAATGGAGGACACTGTACGACAAATTACGTACCGGTCGCGAGATGGACCTCAAGCGCTTCGTCGTCGTCGCAGCTGCGTGCGGTCGGGTTCTCGCACTGCTGGAGGACCATGTCGCCCTTGGTGAGCATGTCGTACGTAAAGACGGCGACGCCCGACGTCATGGGGCCGGCCACGTAGAGGCGCACGATCGAGGTGGGGTAGAGACCGACGTGGTGCAGCGGTTCGAGGAGGTTCGGGAAGGCCGATATCGTCACTTCCGGGAGGCTCGATGTGTGCTGGAGTGTGATCGAAGAGATGCTAAAGTCTTCGGGCAGCACGCCTCGCTGCAGTTTGTAGAGCGCATCTTGAAACATCTTGTGCGTCTTCTGGAGCACGTCGTGGATCGCCTGGCACTGGTCCTTGTCTTTGGCGCGGATGCGAAAGATGCTACGTCATATGCCCTGAGCAATGAGTGAGGGATGCGATGACGGGATACCGTCCGTCGGCGCGGACCACCGTGAGGATGCGCGGATGGCTCTCGTTGATGTAAATGTGCAGAATGTCCGTCATGTGCACGGTCGTCCGGACTTCGCCAAGGCCAGAGTCGCTGTGCTTGAAGCACATCATCTCGGCCGGCGTCACGATGAGCATGCGGTCCTTCCAGATCATCATGTTCGAGTTGAGGTTGCGCGTCGCGAGCGACCGGCCCGTCATCTTGAGCGACCCAATGTACAACATTGTATCCATCGTGTCGTCTTGCTCTTCGACGAGCGACGAGTAGAGAACGCCGCCAATGGACTTGTCGGTCGACTCCTCCGGAAACGGAATCGACGCGCCTTTGCGGAGCCCCGCGCGCTGTTGGAGGACTTCCTTTGTGCACTTGTCGCAGACGCGCACGGTGCGGAGGATGCCAAACTTGGGTAACGGGAGCTGGTTGCGGCTGTGGGCATTGCAGACAGAGTTGCCGCAGTTGCGGCAGTGGTGCTTGAGGCGGCGAATGCCCAGCGAGATCTTGCACACGTGGCACTCCATCGCTGGCGAGTTCTTGGGCGGCGTGCACTTGGCCTTCTCGTCGCGCTTCTCGTCTGCCTTGGCATCCTCCTTGTCGTCCGAGGGCGGCGACGGCGACCGCTCTTTCGCCTTGGCGTCGCTGTTGCGGTTCGAGAACGGCAGGCGCAGGCGCGACCGGAACCGCCCCGGCGCCGGCGGTGGGCTCGCCTCGTCTTCCATGTTGGCCGACGAGATGGACGGTGCGCTCTTGCGGTAGCGTATCGCGGGCATCCTAGAGCGCGGGTTGGCCATGAGCATTGCGTCACGGAAGAGCAGCATGCGTCGTACTGCTTGACGGAGGAAGCGGCGGCGGATGCGGCCAACTGAAAAATGTTGGTGATGGACACGATTTGTTGAGTTTCAATCTTTGCAACCGTGACATACAAAGGCCGAGTCATAAAATACCTCTTGCCCCCTCCAGTGATTTAATCACCAACAATCGGCATCCGATACAATATGCAAGGTATTTTAAAATATTGTGCGTTGGATTACCACACCGCACGCAAGTCGCTTATAAAAAGAAAAGAACGGGATTGGAACTGGCGCCCTTTCTGGCTGACGTGGCAGGATGCGGACTGACGTGCCACGGCTGGATCGGAGCTGCGTTAGCTGTCCAGTTGTATGGGGCATCGGCGCACATGGAAGAACGACCAGGGTATTACGCGACATGGTGTCGGAGGAAGACAGTGCAAGACTCGAACAGTGCTCGTGCGCGTTGCAAGTACAATAGAGAGAGACCAAGACCGATTGTGGGACTGCGTGGCACCAGGTTCGCCTCGGCGCGGGATCACGAAGAACCAGGCGTGCAAATCTAGTTCGTGTCCAGAATGTGTGTCCAACACAGACGCTTAGGAATGCCAGTGAACGGGTTTAGAAAAACCTGACGCGACTTGTGCCTAATGCGGCGTCGCACGTGCTTCTACACATGCTGAGCGACACGGACCAATGGACTCGGCGGCTCGTACGGTGTGTGCCCCCTCGTCACACCGCCGTCGTGAGCCTCCAATTACTGTACACAGTGCAATCGAAATTGCACTTTCCACTCAAGTGCAAACTCATCGATTAGCTCACGGCGGCGCACTTGGCGTCGAGGCTGCTGAGGGCAATCGCGAACGCGAGCAGCGGCGTGAGCGGCGGCGCATAGTCCAAGACGTATATGTTGCGGTCTGGTGTTCGGCCAAACACCATGACGGCGTCGGCGCCGCCGCTGAGCAAGACAAAGTTCTTGACCGACGCGACGCGCACGCGGCCGTCAAAGTTGAGGCCAAACGCTTGCAGCGACTCGACCCAACGTGGCGGCTTGTTGACGAGCTCGGCGTTGCCCAGCACGACGTGCATGCGCCGCGGCGTCCGGCCATAAGTCGCCGAGTAGATGATCGTCATGGGTGTGTCTTCGTGCACGACGCAGTACGACGCACCGTCGACGGACCCAAGGAGCTGGCCCTCGACCGCACGCTTTTCGTCGGCATTGCAGATGGGCACGACAGCGGTCCGCGTCGACTGGCGGCGTAGCGCAGCGCGGTACACAATGCCGTTGTTGTGGAGGAGCTCAAAGACGCCGTCGCCTCGGTGGACGACGCTGCATTGGGTCATTCGCATCATCGGCGGGGCTGGCATCGAGCCACGATGATGTCTGGTTCGAGAGTGGCGAAACAAACGTACAGTACGAATTCACGTCCATGCTCGGGTTACGCGAGGGCGGATTGTGTGTCCGCTCGTCGAACGACTCGACAGGCGCTCCCTGTCAAGGCTACACGCCCAATCCAACCGTTGATATGAGTGCCAGCAAAAGCTATTATAGCGTTCAGGTCATGCTCCTCTCGTGACAAAGGTGCGAGACTCCGTGTCAGTGTCCGAGCGTCCCGCGTGTGTGGCAAGGTCGTGGGTGCATTCGAAACTGTCGTCACGTGAGACGGCCACGTCATGGGCCGGGGACAGAGCGTTGGACACTCGCGCAGTTGCTTGAAGAAGCCCGCGCCAGATTGCGCTTGCCCACCAACCTTGGAAGCTTGATTGGCTCCAGCTCTACTCTGTGGTCGTGCAACCAAGTGAAAGGCAAGCAATAAGATCTGAAATGCAATGTATTGTACACAAATAAAATAGCACGCGCCTTCTACTAGCAGCCAAAACGAAAGCCCGAATATATAGCAGCAACTCGATCATCGGCATGTCGTCTAGTCGAACGTGACGAGGTGCGAGTCCATGGAGCTCAGCGCGATCGCAAACGCTTGCACAGGCGAGAACGGGTGCCGGTAGTCCATCGAGTACACTTGACGGTCCGACGTGCGGCCAAAGAGCATCATCGTCTTGTCCATGTCGTCCGGGTGCGAGAGCAAGAAGTTCTTGACCGACGCGGCAGCGACGCGACCGCCAAAATCGAGGCAGTAGGCCTCCAGCGACTCGATCCACACTGGCGGCTTGTTGATGAGGCTGATGGCGCGGGACGCGTCTGGGCGCTCAATCTGCGACAGCATCGAGTCGTCACGGCCCGTCGGCACGTACCGCTCGACCTCGAACGTTGGCACGTCGTCGTTGTTGCCGGCTTCGTGGACGAGGGGCAGGGCCACGCGCATCTGGCGCGGCGTCTTGCCAAAGGTCGCAGCGTACTGCACGGCGCCGAGCTCGGACGGGACCTCTTCGGTCGTGTTGAGCACCGTGTACTGCGAGCCGACAAAGTTGCGCTCGAGGCGAGCGATTGCGTTGGCTTCGGCCGGCGCCGCGTTGGCCGCGTAGATGGAAAAGGTCACGCTCATGTCGAGCTGGCGACGGCGCACGGCCGTGCAGAGGAGCACGTCCGTGTCTTGCGTGTACAGCTCGTAGTTGCCCGAGCCGCGCGTGCGAATGTAGCACTGCATCACAAGCGCTTGGGTGGGCGACGGTGTCATGAGGAAGCGCGTCATCATCTGCACCGAGAGGCGCGCGGCCGTGAGGAGCTGGTGGCGCAACGCCACGTCGGCCGGCGGCGGCGGCTCCATTGGGGCCTCCGTGCACACGTCCATGTGGTCTTCGAGCGCGGCCTTCTTCATCGTCTCCGAGCAGTAGGCGCACGTGACGATGACGTCGTTGGCCATGCGCTGAGCAAAGCGCGACGGCGAGAGCTGGTCAAAGCTGAGCTCGTCGCGGCACATGGGGCACGAGTTGCGGTCGCTGACCCAGCGCTCGATGCAGAGCTTGCAAAAGATCTGACCGCAGCACTTGGCTTCGGTCGCCGAGGTAAAGACCTCCTGGCAGATCGCGCACTCAAGCATCTTCTTGTGGTTCTCAAGGAGCTCTGCTTGCGCGTCACGCGGCATGGCCGGGTCGGCGGGAAAAGCCACCGACGACACGAGGTTGGACGCGGCGAGGGCCGACGCCGCCGTGCGCTGGCCGAGGTGACGCGACTTGAGCGCCGTGTGGATCTCGAAAAGAATGTCGACGACCTCCGAGACGCTGGTGGGGCCGCCAGCACGGATCTCGTCGCCGCTGTCGTTGTCGGCCTGGTTGTCCTGTTCGGCGTGGGCGACCGACTCGTTGACGTCCTCGTCGTCGACTGACATGCGGTCGCTAAAGTCATGGTCCATGTCCATGTCCTCGAGGATCGCCGCATGCTCGTCGTGGTTGTCGGCGTTGAAGAGCTCTTCCGGGGACTCGCCGTCTTCGACGACGACAAACGAGCTGTCGCTGGACGACGACGGCGCGTACGCCATGTGCGGCGCGCCGATCGGGAGAAGGTCCACGGGACCGTCGCCTTCGGCAAAAGTCGAGCTGACCTCAATGTCCATGTCGAAGCGCGAGTTGCGGGGCGTGATGCGCGGGCTGTTGCGCGGCGAGAGGAACACCATCTCGGAGAGCGTCCGCGTCCGGAGCATCTTGTTCGAGTTGCTCCGGCGCGGCTCCGTGACGACGCGGAGGCGGCGGGCGAAGCGGGCAGGCGAGGCGGCGGCTTGGTTCTGCATGCTGCTGCTTGAGTTGGATCTTCCCAATAAGAAAATGGAAGAAGACGACGGCGGGATGCGAGCGCGACGTCGAAGAAGAGAAGAACAGAAGCCGAACCTATGCCCCGAGCCTCGAAAAGCGGAATGAAATCCGATTACACACCGGGGGCGGTGCACTTTCCGGTGGCGGCCGGGAATTCGCAGAGATAAGTACGCGCACCCTACCCCGCCTCGTCCCCAGGCACCCATTGGGATCGCCATCTCTTGAAGTTTGTATGCCTGCGTGACGGCGGCCAGCGAGGCGTGCGAATTGCGCTGGCCATTTTATCACTTTCGCCTGGCAGAGGGGCCGTTATCCGGACACTTGAGTTTGCACATTTTCTACTGCAGCGGAACGCAGATGGCACGCGGCTCCAGCTGGCGGCGCGGCCTTGTCGTTGTTCGATCGTGTGTTCCCTCGTATATGTGCCTTGCCGGTTGCCTCTACCACACATTTCGCTGTATATTGCGATGCATTACACGAGGTGTCCCAGCGGCGATGGCAAGGCAGCGACATCGCTTTCTTCCTGATATGGGACATCAACCTGGTCGATCGCGCTGCTCCATACTCGCTGCGTCGTCGAGAGCAGATCGTCCCAGGACCGGTGCCACACAGCGTTGGATGGAAGCGGAGTGTCAAACGGAGGGCGACTGGACGGGCCGAGGACGAGGTCGACGGCGACGCGGCGTGCGACACGCTCGTCGACGCCAAGACGCAATGCAAGTTGCTCAAAGCGGAGGCAGAGATCCCGCAGACCGACCGAGTTGTTATCTAATTTGGATGCGAGCAATGCCGCCATACGTTTGCTGTTGCAAAGGTGACGTACGCGCATAGTGGTTTGCGGCGAGAACCGCAGTATCCATCGTCGCGACGTCGACGTCCGCCACGATCGACGGGTGCACGCGGGTATGAAGCGCAACGGGGCAAGCACAGACCTTCGTCACCTGCGACTTGTTGAGGGACAGGAGACCATGCAACGCGTCGCGCACCTTGTCGAGCTCGACGCCTGCGAGGACACTGAGTAGCACCCGCGTTGACGCCGGCTGGCCCAGCGTATGTTTGACTTGGATCCCAACACTGGTCAACTGCGACGGGGGCACGGCGAGAAGCACGAGGTCGCTCTCAAGAGCGAGTTTCGCATTGTCGTGGTACCTACAGACGGCGTGAGATGCTGCTATACATGGGCGGTGGCAGCGACCGGGCGACTGCGGCGTCGACCCGCGCCATCCAGCGCGGGTCGTCAGGCTGCCGCGTGGATATCGCAATAAGCGCCGGTGGCCACCCGCCGGCCACGAGGGCCTCGCAAATCCCGACGCCAACACGGCCACCACCAACGATGCCGATCCTTGTTGTCGCATCGGGCAGCATTGCTAGACGCAGCTTGTGCACGAGCAGCGCAAGGACCGTGCACTGCTGGGCAATGAGCTGGATGACAATGCCTCGCGCATGCATCTGCGGCTGAACGCGGAGCGAGAGGCGCTGCGGTAGAAAGAGCAGCGGGTCCAGCTTTGTGATCTCATTGGCGTAGTCGATGCTGTAGGCGGCGGACCCGAACGACATGGCGACGGTGCTCGCCGAACCGTCGCGGTTCGTATCCGGATATCCGAAAACCCACCAAAACCCACATTTACATCGCACTGTTGGCAGCGGCAGGTGTATTTTAGCTGCAATAGCAAGCCTTACCGGCACCTGAAGCAACCGATGTAATCGACGACGCCGTGTCGGCAAGTGAGCGCCCACGCTTTTCGGGCGTTGTGGACCCCACGATATCGGGTCAGCAATCGGACGCGTGGCGCAGCGTCGGGTGCAGTTGCGCAGTGCGTATCCGGATGCCACGAATTTTTCACGTCTGGTTCGTGTGGGAATTGGCCGCAAGAAAGATGTTGCATTTCAGATTTTGACGCTGCCACCACCATGCAGCGCTTCATGCTCCACGGCGCTTCCCTCCTCAAGCCGACGTCGGCCGCCGGCGCCCTTGGCCGCATGGTGCTTGGCCTCAACAGCACGTCGGCCTTCGGCCGCGAGTGGCAGGTGGTTACCGCTCGCGTCGACCACGCCGAAGCCGTGATCCGCCACGTGCACGAGACCACCGACTGCCGCTCCGAGTTCAAGCCCGTGGGCCTTTCACTGGCAGAGCCCTCTGTTGACGCTGTGGCTGACCAAATGAAGCGACTCGGTAGTACGGGGCTGCTTTTGCTTCCCGACGCCATCGATACGGCGCAGTGGGACGCGACGCAGACGCTGCTGAAGGCGGCCAAGGCCGCCAAGCTCGAGCACCTCGTACAATGCTTACGTCGCATCCTGGAGAGCTCATTAACTCGTGTAGGTGCTCGTGTCGACAGCAACGTCGGCGGCCGACTCGATGGTGCCGAGCGGCAAGGCGTGGTTTGAGCTCGAGTCGGCGGCGGAAGCGACGCAGATCCCGCTCTCAATCGTGCATCCCTCGACGCTCATGGACACGTTTCTGTACGGAAAGCTTCACGAAATGGTGTGCGGCCGGACGCTCTCGGTGACCAACGAAGCGGCGCGCATTGCATTTGTCGACGGACGCGACGTGGCCGACGTGGTCAACCGCCTCGTCTCGGTCGACGCGCCAGTGTCGACAACGCTGCATGTGACAGGCCCCGCGGCCCTCTCGATGCAGGAGGTTGCGGCGACCCTCTCGCGCCACCTCGTGCCGCCCGTCAAGTACTCCAAGTTTCCTCTCTGGGCTGTGCAGACGGCCATGTGGGTGCAAGGTACCAAGCTATCTCGTCCTGCTGGAGAATTCCAATTTCTCGCATAGGCAAGCGCCCGGAGGAAATCCAGGAGCTCGTGAACCTCTCGCGCTACTACGAAGCGCAATACGAAGCCGAGACGAGCACGACGGTGCACGACATGCTCGGGCGGGCGCCTCGCAGCTTAGAGCAGTTTGTGGCCGACCACAAGGAGGACTGGCCGCAGCACAAGTACTCGTAGTCTTGGATAACGCAGAAAACACAAGGTTGTATTCGCAGTCGAGCGCTTCTTAGACGAGCTCGGGCGACTTGGCCGCGGCAAAATCGGTCGGCGACTGCAGCAACGGCGCCTTGCGCGGGACGGGCTTGAGCACGAGCGAGAGGCCGACGGTCACGATGACCGGCACGATGAGCGCAGCGAGGAAGAGGATCATCGAGTGCTCGGTAAAGAGACCCTCGGCGAGGACAAACTCGCTAAAGCCGTCGACAAAGACACCGTCGCGCGCCCAGCCCGACACGAAAATCTACGCGGCATCAGTATCAATGTTTCAACGCAAACTTGCAAGTGTACCGTGAGGAGACCGCTGATGCAGCCGACAATGACGGCGGTCGGGTGGCAGCGCTCCCAGAGACCGAGGAAGATGGGCCCGACCGTCGCCGCGCAGAGCAAGTCGGCGATCAAGAAGAGCTGGAGCACGCTCGTGTTGGTCATAGCAATCGCGATCGCGGGGATGTTGATGAGAACTATAGGAAAATAAGAAATCAAAGACAAGTAGTACAAAGGATGACGCACTCGAGATGACGCGGGCTTGCGTGAGCGAGAGCGACTGGAAGTTGGTCAGAATCTCGGCGCTCATGCCGGTCTGGATCGTATCGGCCGTCGACGAGACCAGCGCCGCAATGACGATGAGCACGACGATGCTCCACGCCTCGTTCATGTTGAGGAGGATCTGGAAGAAGAACGAGTCGGTCGCTTCCGCGTGCAAGATGCGGCCGACCATGCCGGTGACGCCGAGGAGCACAATGAAGGGCGTCGCGACGAGCGCCGCAAAGCCGCACGCGATGTGCAAGTCCCGGGACGTCTTGGCCGAAAACCTAATGTCGCGCGTCAACACCCAAAGAGGATCGATGAAGAGCGTAGTACGTGCGCAGCCAAAAGCCCGTCAAGAAGAGGTTGGACGAGACGACCGCAACGACGAGCGTGATCACAGCCTCAAAGCCCAGCACCGTAAAGTCCGCGACGCCCGTCTCGGCCCACGAGCCTTCCGGGATCGAGACCGACGTGAACATGGCGATGCACACCACAATGATGAGCACGAGGATGAACCCGCCCTTGACAGCGTCCGTCGCGATACTGGCCTTGATGCCGCCTAGCACCGCCATGTCAAGCACAGCACAAGACGACTTAGTGTACCAAAGAGCGTGTAGCAGCACGTGATGACCGCGACGAGGACGACCGAGACGAGCGTGTGCGTGTCGGGCGCGAGCAGCGACATGAGCGTCCCAATGGCCGTGAGCTCGGCCGCGATCGAAATGAGCTGGTAAAAGAGCGAGATCAGCGCCACGTACATCTGCTGCACGACGCCAAAGCGCTACAATATCCACGCGTCATGAGATATGGACGCGCTCTTAGGCGACGTGTACCCGCGCCGCATAGTCGCTGAGCGTGATACCATCACCAAGCATGTCCGAGATGGCAGGGCCGGCAATCTATGGTCGTGGATAAGAGAGTGCGCAAGGACTTGACGTGTGAGTGTACCGCGAGGACGGCGTAGCCAAGGACGATCGAGAGCCAGTAGCCAATGAGGCCCCACGTGCCGACGGACGCTGCCGTGTCCGGGAACGAGAAGAGTGCCCACGAGCCCATGCCGGATGAGAACATACACCAGCCAAGGACCCACGGCGTTTGCGACTTCTTGGCACTAGCCGAGATAATGACGGTCTTCGTAGCGAGGTGGATGCTGGTACCTGATGTACGTGGCGACGTTCTTGACGGGCGCGCGGTACGTGATGTACACGGCGTACGCGGCGACGGCGAGGAGCGTCGCGATGAGGCAGATATAGGCGACGGCTGCGGACACCATGGCAACTTTGCGAATAAACTCACTGCATGACTCACGTGAACGCTCCGCCACCTGGCGCCACTTCAAGAAATCGGAACTTTTATTTTGTGATTTTATTACAAGGGACTAGAAAGGACAAGGGCAAACATGCGACATGCCGGGAGCAACGCGCCGTGCGTCGGCTTCAATCGCTGGATGTTGGTCCATGGACCGGCGTGCGCAAGAAGAGCAAGTACAGGCCGCCTTGCGCACCACCGGGGTCGTGGATGCTGGTACGGTACGCGCAACGCTTGCGGCTGCGGTGGCCCGCTTGGCATGTGACAAAATGCGCACCCAAGTGAGTCACGTGATGGCCGTAGAAGCCGCATGGCGAGGCGACAGCCGAAGCACGGTCGGGTGGCACTGCACGCCAGCCATTGATTTGCGCCGCCGCACGTAGAATGGACGCGTCGATGGCGCGATCAAGCCCTTGGGTTTGACCAGTGGGTTTGACTGGCACGCACGCGCGTCGATGCTGTTGTACGAGGAGCAATCGTTGCCGGCTGACCCAGGTCACGCACTCTGCTGCCGGGATAGACAAGGCATGTGAAACGCGTTATCGATCTTGTCAGGCGCGGTCGACAGCTCAATTAGACGATGCTGCTCTTACCGTAGTTGTGCTCAGGTCTCATCCACAGGGTCCGGAATCTGAACCACCATGGGTTGACCCCTGGAAACTGAGTCTGGACTCTGGACTCAGTTTATGGTTGGTTCCGCGCATTGCCAGTTGCCCCATGTACGACTATGACCTTGACGCGAGTCTCGCAGCATCAAATTTGGAGGCATCCTGACGTAGAGGCCAACTAGTAGTGTGTGGTAGAAGCGGCCATTCGAGCGACGACGACGAACAACGGGGTTGGGACTGGCCCACGCTTCCTTTAGGGCACTGGTGTGTTGCCTTGGAAAACACTGCATGACTGCGCAAACTCGATTTCGATCCTGTGCGCCGAATTTTGGTGGCATAATATCGGCATGTGCCACACTATGCCGCCATGAATGCCACTTCCAAATACCTTTGGCAATGCATGTCAATATCATCTTTTAAAGGGGTTTGGCGTCTGGTCCCGAGTTCAGTTATTCTTGGCCAACCCAGGTAGTAGCAATGAGCCAGTATCCGCCGCCGGCCCAGCCGCAGTACGCTGGCTACGCCCAGTTCTACGGTAACAGCGCGCCCCCGCGCGGGCCGCCCATGCGGCCGCCTCCTCCTCCGCGAGGTTTCTCGTTCCAGCAGCAGGCTCCGGCGTACGCGTACCAGCAACAGGCGCCGCAGCAAGTTCAGTACCCATACCCGCCGCCGCCGCGACCGCCGTTCCAGCCTCGACCGCATGGTAGCGTGCTTGTGCCGCCTCGTCCACCGGGGCCACCTCGCGCCATGGTGCCACCTCGCCCCGTCGCGCCCCAGCAGCCGTCCGCGGGTAGCAAGTGGGACAAGGCGCCGCACCCACCTCCTCAACAAGTGAACTCTACGTCTAACCAGTGGCAGTGGGGTACAGGACGCGCCGAGAACCAGCAGCCCAACCCAGCAGTGCGGTATGGCCCGGCCACCGAAGTGGCCAATGCAGCGCCCAAGATGTACAACCGAACGCCGCCCACCGTGTCCAAGTTTTCATCGCAGCCGCCACCAAGTGTGCAGGCACCGCCTCCAGGTGTCGAGTCGACGCAGTGGCCGCCAGCGCTGAAGGCTTACGTCGAGCGCGCCTTTAACTCTGCCCGCACCGAAGTCGACAAATCGCGCGTCCAGGCGCTTCTGAAAGAGAAGATTGCGTCCGCTTTGGCGGCAAACCAGCTCTGGACCAAGAACTGGAACGCGGAGCCATTGCCGCTGGAGCAGCAAGGCAGCACGATGACTGCGCCAGGACATATGGGTCCCCGTCCTATGCATATGCGTCCTCCTCCTCCTCGTCCTCTTCATGCGGGTCCTCGTCCTCTTGTGCCGCCGCCCCGTCCGGGCATGGTGCCACCCCGGGGCTTTGTCCCCCCACCCCGTCCCTCCGGTTTCATCCCACTAGACACGTCAAACAAGTTTACGAAGCAGCCCAAGCGCAAGATGATGTACGATCCAAATGATTGCGAGCTTTGACCACTCATGCCATTGTGTCATTGCAGGGACGACCCCGATGGCCACGACGTCAAGCGAAAGCTCAAGCGGCAGCAGCGGTTCCTCAAGGACAGCTTCGTCGCCAACAAGACCCGTGCCCCCACCGTACACGACCATAATTCTCGACGCGGTTTCCTCACAGATGGCATGTAGGTGGACGAAGACCGGCCATTGCAAGTGCTCAATGACGACGGCGAATTGGACTTGGAAGCTATGATCATCAAGGGCACGTGCCAAATCGTCGAGAAGGAGTACCTCCGACTCACTTCGGTAGACGGCAACCAATGTACCATGGCCTCATCGCCCTTGGTCCCGCAGGCGCCGCACCCTTCGACTGTGCGCCCCGAGCCCGTGCTCCACAAGGCGCTCGAGATGGTGCGGAAAAAGTGGAAGAAAGGTAAGTGCGACTACGTATACGTGTGCAGCCAAATGAAGTCGATCCGCCAAGACTGCACGGTATTCCATCTTGTTCAATCTCGTATCTCATCCATCGCATAGGTGCAGCACATAAAGAATACCTTTACGGTCCGCGCGTACGAGTCCCACGCCCGCATTGCGCTCGAAGAAGGCGACATGAACGAGTTCAACCAGTGCCAGACGCAGCTGTCGGCGCTGTACGATGCGGGCATTGACGGCTGCGGCCTCGAGTTTCTTGCGTACCGTGTGCTCTACTGCATCTACGTGTGCCTCCAGGCCAAGGCCGACGTCAACACTGGCAACGTGGCCATGGCCAAGGTCCTCTCGTGCATCAAGGCAGCCGACCGCGACGACGAGACTGTCGCCCATGCTCTCGATGTGCGCGAAGCCGTCGCGCTCAACAACTATACGCTCTTTTTCCACTTGTACGCGGCCGCGCCCAAGATGAGCGGCTACATTATGGACGCGTACGTCGACCACATGCGGCTGCAAGCGCTGCGCATCATGTGCAAGGCCTACCAGCCGCATATTCCTTTGGCGTACGTCAAAGAAATGCTGCGATTGGAAGGCGACGACGGCGACGCGTTTGTCGCCGAGAGCGGCCTCGCGTACGTCGACGCGGACCGGACCTTGATCGACGTCAAGGCGTCTGCGATCGTGGCCGTGCGCAGCAACGCCAAGTCCCTCTTGTAGTAGGGTGGAGTGTATATACCGTAGGTAGACAATGTAGAGAGTAGGAGCGCTAGTAGCATAAGACGATGTAACTACTTGATCTCGTGGGCTCTCTTGAAGCGGTCGTCGACCGCTCGCGAATCGAACTAGCCTGTTGGTGCTGCCTGTGACGTCCGTTGGTCATGCAGTCGATGTCCACGGTCGTTGTCCGTGACGTCCGTGACACCGCCAAGGAGCGAGGGTGGCGGTTGGCGACACTCAGAGCAGCGTCAGCGTCCGCCAAGGATCATTGAGGCAGCAGAGACGACATGTGACTCGAGGAAGGAGCAAAATGATCAAGAAGTCGAGTTATCAAACACGACTACTCGACGCCAAGCTTGCGCAAGAAGCCGCGAATGCGCTGCACGCTGAGCTCCTTTTGCTTGTCCGTGCTGACGCAAAACACTTCGGCGGCCGAGAGGCTGTAGATGCTGTTGGCGTCCACATCAAAGGGCGCCCAGACCTTCTCGACCTTTTCAAACACGGTCCAGTCCGCGTCCGAGACATGCGTCGTCTCCTCGTCGCGCTTGGCCATGCGGCCCTTGACGATCTCACGGTTGCAGTCGCAGACGACGACGGCAACGGCGACGCCGACCTGCTTGGCGCCCTCGATGAAGAGCGTGCGAAACGCAGGTTCGCGGAACGTTGCGTCGACGAGCACGCGCTGCCCTTGGCTGAGCGCTTCGAGCGCCGTCTCCCAGCAGGTCGTGTACGTGGCTTGCGTCGACGCGGCCGAGTAGACGTCGTCGGTTTGGTGGCCCGGCGTCTTCTCCGATATCGGTACGCCAGCCAGCTCTTTGCGCACCACGTCCGAGCGCACCCAGACCCAGCGCGGGTCCGTGAGCGTGAGTGCTTCGGCGATCGACGACTTGCCCGTGCCAGGGAGGCCCGCAATGAGCACCAAGAGTGGCCGGTCGCACGGCAGCGCCAAGAGACTGAGCGCCACGAGCCAGTGGCACTTGGCGCGGGCGCGGGACTTGGCCGTGTCGTGCATGAGCGAGTCGAGCGCCTGGAAGCCCGAGACTTTGGCGCGCACGACGCTGCGGTAGGCCGTGTAGAAGCGAAGCAGCTGGTGGTTGGCCTTGGAGGCTTGCTTGGACGCGTCTAAGTACGCGCTGTTGAACGCACGCGCCAGGTCGGAGCGTCCGAGCCGGAGCAAGTCCATCGAGAAGAACGCAACGTCGGCGAGCGGATCGCTGTACCGGAACCGCTCGTTAAACTCAATGCAGTCGAGGACGACGACGTCGAGCGCCGAGACGTCCAAGGTCGTCAGCGCATATGCTGCGATGGGCGGTACGTAGCGCGACGCAGCTTGGGCTGTCGAGAGCGGTGCATCTACACGATACAAGCGAGAGCATGACGAGCCATTGACAAGACAAGACGGGCGTACTCGCAGCGGTCGGGAGAAAGTAGACGTGCTCGAGGCGCAAGTCGCCGTGCGTGTCCGAGATGTACCTGTTCTCGACGCGCTGCCGAAAGATTGTATCGAGGTCCGCCGTCATCGTCTCCGAGAGCCGCTTGACGTGGGCGTACACACTCGCGTCGACCAAGCCAGCCCGCGCGTGGGTCTTTGTCTGCTCAAAGTTCTCGTTGACGTTGGCGGCGATCGCACTCGGGCTCCCAAATGCATCGATCGACGGGCTCTTGCGCGCCGTGACGTGGAAGCGCGCAATCTTGGCGGCCACCGCGTCCAGCAGCGCTGGCGTGAGCATGCCCGTCTTGAGCAAGTGCAAGCATGTGTTTTCGTTGGGCAACCGCCGCATCTTGACCGCCCAGTCGACGACCTCGCCGAACTCGTCGTTGGCATAGTACGTCGCGTCCTTCTCGCGCGCGTCGGTCCAGTGGTCGTACGTGCTGATGCGAATGATGTTGTCTTTGTCTTTGTAGATGGGCACGACGCCGAGGTAGACGGTGGGTGCGAGCCGCTGGTTGAGCTGCGTCTCGGCCAAGCACGCCTGCATGCGCTTGAAGACGCTCGAAAAGTCGGCAAAGCCAAAGTCGACGTTCTTCTTGACCTTGTACACGACGTTGGCGCGGAGAAAGACCATCGACATGTGCGTCTGGATGAGCTCGATGGCGTCGTCGTCATCGGCGGTCGGCGCAGCGTCCGGGTCGGCGATATACGCTTCGTGGCGCACGAGGCCATCGAGCAGCTCTTGGCTGGACGCCGAGACAAGCACCTTCTTCTTGCGCTGGGTGGCCATCGGTGCAAGAATGCAACTCGTCTGAACAAGATCTGGTTTTGGTTGCGTGTGTTTAGCCCAACGAGATTTCAGCATACAAACACCAAGGCGAATGCGAGGCAACCTAAATACACTAAGCGACACTATACCATACAAAAAACAAGATTCGATTGCCAACTTCAAGTTGCTCAGTACGACGTGGCAAGCGGTGCGGCGGCGACGGCAGCGCTGCCCTCGGGCGACTTGCCGTTGTACTCGTCTTCGAGAGCGAGCGAGTTGGAGCGGAGGACGTGGCCGAACCAGATCGCCGATGCCTTTGGCATGCGCTCCATCGTCTCGTAGTTGACCCAGTGGAGACCGAACCGCTTCGTGTAGCCAAAGGCCCACTCGTAGTTGTCGATGAACGACCACGCATAGTAGCCGCGGACGTCGACGTTGAATTCGGTGATGGCCTTGTGCATCTCGGCGAGGTACCCGCGGTAAAAGTTGACGCGGAAGTAGTCCTTGGCCGCGACCGCCTGGTCGTCGTCGGCGACCGCGCAGCCGTTCTCAGTGACGATGATGCCACCCACCGGCGCGTACCGGGCCTGGATCCACATGAGCAGCTTGCGGAAGCCCCACGGCACGGCGTTCCAGCCCATGTCCGTGCGCAGCCACGCGTCGTCCGAGGTCTGCTTGGTGCCCACATCCTCCCAGATGACGCCTTCGTGGCCACACGGCTCGTTGGCGAGGTAGGCGTCCGAGGGCTCGACGTACGCCGTGCCGTAGTGGTTCAAGCCAAAGAAATCACT